GGGAGGGAGACGGCCTATCCCAAGGCGGAGTAGGTTTCCTCATTCATAGGATCCTCACTAACAGCATAGTAACTCAAGTGTGTCGACACGGGTAGCGTACCTTGTACTTAAGTTATCAGATACTCTCTGAAGATCATACAAGTTTATGCCCCAACCTCAGCACATTCGGATAACGAAGTTGAAACTGTCTATGAAGACATTTCTAGGGCCTTACGTAACACCACAAAGGCCCACTACAATGTTGTTATGTATATAAGGGGATTTAAATGGCAAATTGGGGTAAACACATGGGCGTCGAATCGATTTTGAGACACTACGGTTTTGGAAGCAGGAATCACATGGGGCAAATGCTGGTCAACTTCCTCGAGAAAGAGAAAGATTCTGATTTTGAAGAAGCCACAAAGGAAGCGGACCTGGCGCAGTCCCGATAATACTACAAAAAATGAGATTGACTTCATCATGACGGACAAAAGGCACATATTCAGAGACGTCTCAGTGATCAACAAATTCAATACCGGAAGCGATCACCGACTTGTTGGAGGCACTCTGAATATCGATTTTACTTTTGGTGAAGTCTACGATTCAACCAAATCTATTTCAAACCGTAACTGGCTCCCGACGCTTCCATCTAGAACTTAAAAATCGATTCGATGTCCTGAGACCCACTTTGGATATCGACGAGGACCTTAACAGCGTAATTAAGATCTTACGGGATGAGGGCAACAGGTTTTGTGGCAAGCAACATACGAGTCGAAAGTCGCAGTTCTCAGATGAGACACTTCAGCTTATGAAAAGAAGGTGTGAGTTAACAACAGCATCACCATCGGAACAGGTGACACTAACCAAGCTTGTGAGGAAAGCTGTGGCGGGTTGAGTTAAGGCGTTAAGGTTAAGGCGGGACCTGCGTCGCTCTATTGCAATTGCTATACAAGCGGCAATATAGCGAAACAAGGGATCCAAAATCTTTGTTCGGGATCTTGGATGAAGTAACATCGCAAAACTCCAGATGCATGATGGCAAAGTCCTCACGTCAAAGCCTGAGGTTCTCTCTGAGATCGAACACTATTATGGCAAACTATATGCCTCACATAAACCAAAACCCGACCCTAAATGCGATGATCCCAGAGCCACGCTGACCCACCACTATACCGACGAGCTGCCAGATATTTGTCTTGGGGAGATTGAGCTGGCCCTCGGTCAAATTAAAAACGGAAAAGCCCCTGGAGAAGATGGAGTTACAACAGAGCTCTTAAAAGCTTGGAGGCAACCCTTGCTAAAAGAGCTCTGTCGAGTTTTTAACTGCATCTTACGAGACGGGAGAACTCCAAAGGCGTGGAGCGAAATCATTACAGTCTTGTTTCACAAGAAAGGTGACAAGACTATGCTAAAAAATTATCGACCCATCTCGCTTCTGAGCCACGTCTATAAGTTGTTTTCGAGGGTCATCATAAATCGACTCGTGCGAAGCCTCGACGACTATATAGATGTAATAATAAATATTTACTTATAAAACATCAGGGATAATTAATAATCATGCATTAAAATAATAATGAGATTTTTATGAATTTTATTGTTTGTTTCATATAAAAGTATTATAAAGCTATTTAGGTATTGTAAAAAAAAAAAAAAAACAATGTTCTTTCTAAGCCCCGCTACGTCCGTCCGTCCGTCCGCCCCCCTTCCCCTGCCCCTTCCACTTAGAGGCGAAGCGAACCAATTGCTGATTGGTTGATCTACGTTCTGCACGCTCCTTAGACCCCCACCTAGTGGAGTTACCAAAGAGTGAATATAAGCGGTTTTTTCATTTTCACACATTACATTCTGCGCTGACAGTTCACAGTGTACACGTATAATATTGAATATTATCCAAGATGCCGCCGAAAACCAGTTGTAAGGCCGCTAAGAAGTCTGGCAAGGCTCAGAAAAACATTTCCAAGTCCGATAAGAAGAAGAAGAAGCACAAAAGGAAGGAGAGTTACGCCATCTACATCTACAAAGTGCTCAAGCAGGTGCATCCCGATACTGGTATATCCAGTAAAGCGATGTCCATAATGAACTGGTTCGTTAACGACATCTTCGAACGCATAGCCGCAGAGGCCTCGCGCCTGGCTCATTACAACAAGCGTTCGACCATTACTTCACGGGAAGTGCAGACCTCTGTGAGATTGCTGTTGCCCAGTGAACTCGCCAAGCACGCCGTCAGTGAGGGCACGAAGGCAGTCACCAAATACACCAGTTCCAAGTGAGCTGGTGTATTTTATCATCAAGTAAGATGATTAAAATCTATTTACAAAGGCCCTTTTCAGGGTCACAAAATATATCGTATTAATATCCGTTTCTCATGATAACGTCTATACATACATCTCTGCTCACTTGTTCGTTCGTTCTCCACGCTAAGTATTATTATTTTATAGGCACGACGACGAACGACGACGACAGCCTACGGAACAAGCTGGGTTTCGAGGAGAATTTCGCACTATAGAACACACACAGTGCGGCAAATAATACAGAAGACAACCGAGTATAATCAGCCCCCTTTTTTTTAATTTTACATGGGGAAATGCCTACGCATACCCGCCTCGCGGGGGGCAAGGACGGGTTATGTCGGACTCGCACCGACTAAAACCCCATTGTGTTCCACCTTTGTCGCTTATTGGCAGGGCCACGGGAACGTTTTCGCACACATCCGCAGCCCCACCAGCGCCTGCCGCCCTATGGCAGCACCTCCTCGGGAGCGGAATACTCCTCCCCGTTCTCCTTCACAGGTAAGGCGCACCAGAACACATGGCGCGCCTTCCTTCTCGGCCTCTAATCACATCTGCGCAACGGACGCCCCCGCGTCCAATGAAAGAAGGCCATGGGGCCAGGAAAAACAAGCACTTAGAAGTACTAGCCTTCCCGACCCCCCTGTGTCTTGCATTTGTGGACTATGAGAAAACCTTTGCTGAAACTTGGGAACTTAGAAACTTGGGCTGTTCTAGATTCTTTGCAGCGGTGCCAAATTGACTGGCGGTACATCGAAGTGCTGAGATGCCTTTAGAACACCAGTACGATGTCCGTCCAAGTACAGGACAGTCAAACAAAACCAATCCAGTTGCATCGCGGAGTGAGACAGGGGGATGTTATATCCCCTAAACTGTTTACAAATGCTCTGGAAGATGTTTTTAAGACGTTAGACTGAAAATGACGCGGTATTAACGTAAACGGTGAGTACATCTCACACTTATGTTTTACTGATGTTATCGTCGTTAAGACAGAATCGCTGCAGGAACTTCAGGATATGCTGAACAGACTAAATGAATCCTCCCAACGTGTTGGTCCGTACATGAATCTGAACAAGACAAAAGTTATGTTCAACGATTACGTCGTGCCAGTTCCAATTACTGTTGATGGTGAAATTCTCGAAGTTGTCCAGGAATATACCTACCTCGGGTAGATATTGCAACTAGGTAAGAATAATTTCGAGAAGCAAGCCGATCGGAGGATTCAGTTAGGCTGGCCAGGATTTAAAAAGCTCCGTCGGGTTTTTTCGTCATATATACCGCAAAGTCTGAAGACAAAAGTCTTCAACCAGTGCGTTCTGCCCGTACTCACTTATGGTGCCGAAACGTGGACACTGACGATACGTCTGCTCCAAAAGCTTAATATTGTGGTGACATGAACGGAGACCTAAAACATCTGGTTTTTCAATGTCGTCAAATAGATTACTCCTCATCAATTCCATTCAAGATATTAACAATGATAAAGTTCCTGATACTCTTCAAAGTCTGTTAGCTGATGAAAAATTCTTCCGACCGTTATATTCCTTTATTTCTGGCGTTCAAGATATATAAAAATGAAAACGTGATATTATTTAACGTGAATATACGCTAGTACTATATAAGTCAATGGAATAAGCACTTTGTGATTTGTGAATCAGTGTAAATTTGTAATAGTGAATTTTTGATGAATGTTTCGTGCATGACATCCAAATCTAATTTTTAAAGATTTTAATTAAATTATATATTGTAACTTCAGGCTCAGAAGGGCTAGAACCCAGAGCCGTAAAGCCAGTTAATAAAAAATTATGTGAAACGTCAAAATCAAAAGTGATCAAAAGGTATTTCTTAGATTTGGTTGGCTATAATAAACCAAGGAATTTTCATAAATTAATAAGAATCATAAAAGTGATTTTAATCACTCAAAAGTGAAATAATCTCTTGGATCACAGATTACTACTTTGTTCTAAATGGATATGTAATAAATAGGTTGCGTTTTTGCTCCTGTTATCGTACTTGAATGACCAACATTTACAATCAAAGAGCAAAATATAAGGTGGAAGTGATTATTGGGGTCATAACATTCATGATTCAACCGAAATTTTTTCAAGAATTTATACTCGAGTAATATTATACTGTAACGAGAGATTCAACCACTCTAAGGCTCTACGGAGAGGTCAATTTAATGCTGATTGTTCCCCAGGAAGTGTGCGCAATGTGTCCATTATAAAAATGAGCATAAGGAAATGGGATTAATGTATAAAGTTTCGAAAATAATGTGTTGTTATTATACGCTGTTGTTATAATATACATAAAGTAAATAATATAGATGCATTTACATGAGTTACCATTAATATGGGTGTTCGAGGGTTAACTACGTATATAAATTGTAATCAAGATGTTTTTTTACGTCGCTGTTATCTCCATGACACTAATCTTGTGATTGATGGTCACAGCCTCTGTGCACAGTTATATCGATCATTAAATTGTTTCTCGGCCTTTGGCGGGGACTATGACAGATTTGCCTCATATACAAAAACATTTTTCAAACATTTGCGAAAATGTAATATAACGTGCTATGTTCTTTTTGATGGAAGCTACGAAATAAGGAAACTTAAAACAGCATACAGTCGGCTAAGATCCAAAATAAATGGCGCTTCTCGTTTGGACCCTGTTACACAAACCAGCTTGCAGATATTCCCATATTTATTGCGTGATGTTTTTGAGGAAGTACTCATAGAGATGAAGGTGCCTTATACAGTTTGTGAATTTGAAGCTGATGATGAAATAGCCACTATGGCTAGACATCTTAATTGTCCGGTTCTTAGTTATGATTCGGATTTTTTTATTTATAATGTAAAGTATATACCATTTAATACACTTGAAATGAAACCTAAACAAATTTTAGAAAACAGTGATAAAGTCCATGCCATGGAATGTAAGATTTATAAAGTGGAGTACTTGGTCCATAACTTTGGAGGGCTAAAGGAAGAACTGCTTCCATTGCTGGCAACTTTACTTGGCAATGACTTTGTTAAGAAGAAACAATTTAAAAAGTTCTTTTCTCAACTGAAATTACAAAAAAGTAAAAAGAAAAAAAATGAGCAGCAAAAAAGCATTCATGCTTTGTTTAAATGGTTGCAGAATGAATCTCTTGATTCTGCAATAGCTAAAATATTAGGCAGAATGAAAAAAAAACAAAAGGATAAAGTTTTCACCATTATTTCTAAAAGTATAAATGGTTACCATAGAAAACATTGTCGGTCATTGAAATATTTTAATATCTCTGATGAAGAATCAATCGATCAATTAGATATGAAATTGCCAGAAGATACACTTTACAATGATAACAATAATTATGATGACTATGAGGGGGACAGGGAAGACAGTGAAAATAAAGATTGCATGGATGAAAATGATTCTGAAATATTAGATAACGAAGAAAGTGATAAAAGTGACTCATCAGATGAGCAAAACGAACTTGATGATGGTGATGATGATGACCTTAATTGTATACCAGAATGGTTTGCAGATGGTATACGATTGAATCATATTCCCAAGCCATATATAAATCTTTACACACATCATTTACATTTTTGTTCTCCACAAGCTGAAGACTATTCTGACAAGGATTCATTTCTGTGTGCTTTACCTATAATAAGATATGCTTTTGATATTCTCACCGATTTTTCCCAAGAAAGTTTTGTTTATGTTAGTAGGGAAAGTGATTGCAATTATCAGCGACTATTTGTAAATAGAGAGTATTCTATTTCAAGACCTTTAGAAATATCATATCATGAATTATCCACTGAACAGTTAAAACAATATTTTTATCATTTTCTCAACCAAAAGCTTCCCTTATTAGATCTCGGTATGATAGAATTATTGCCAACAAATTCTCAATTATTTATGATTTCTCTTTTATGGTGGGTAGCAAACTGTAATGTGCCTTTAGCTCATATCCACAGTTTAATGATGAGCTATATAGTTTTGGAAGTTGTTGATGAGAAAACTGGAACATTCCGAGGGCACAATTTCTTCAATAATAAACACTCAAAGAAACTTGAAGAATTAAAAAAGAGACCTTCTCTTAGCACTTCAATAGAAGACAATCTCCTTTTTAATAAGCATAAGGTTCAATATGAAGATTGCCTCATAGCTGCAAGTGTACTTTTGAAGCATTTTGAAATTGATGATAGTATAAGAAAAAGACCTAAAAGTTATGATGTGAGAAAGATACATTCATTTGCCCAATTTCAATGTTGCTTACAGCAGTTTAATAGTTTAAATAATTTATGTCGCAGTCCATTTGAAAGTACAAAATACTCAAAATGTTATAATGGGACTTTTATTTACAATTTAGCACTAAAATTAGAGAATCAAACTGAACCTATTAATTTTATGGAACAATATTTGAAAGGTGCTACAAGTGTATTGATGTTTTATAAAAGCATGAGCCATATTTTGAATAAACTTATGAATGTTATGAATCTTACAACTGTAAAATGGAGTCATAGAAAAAGATCAAGACGAAAAAAGAATTTTTGTAATAATGAGGATATAGCATTTATTATTGAAGGATTTGAATCTAATGTTGTAATTTAATTTTTAGGAAATGAAATGCGAGTCTGAAGTATATATAATATATAACATTTCTATATATTTGTTTTTATTTATTTTTCTACATAAATACAAACACAATTTACTAAGTAACATCAATTTTGTAGATCACTTACATTATTCACCACATATGTATCGTCCATCCATCCATCCATTGTAGCCTATAAAGTCCATTGCTGTACATAGACCTCCCCAATAGGAAGGATTTTGCCATAAATGTCACATTTGGCCGGCGGGTTTGCAACGACACCTACAGGACTATAAGGGGTAGTGGATATTTTTACACCACTATATGGTATATATACATGCAATCATAGACCACATATTTTAGTATTCGATTATGTATGTTGAACACATTCATTCACAGAAGTTTTTAATTGGCCTTCATGCAAATTAAAATGTACTTTCAATATTTAGTAAAAAAAATCATTTAATTTTTAAGTCAATGTTGTGGATTTAATTTGGTCTCTCTTCATTTTCATTATCTATAATTGTATTTCATTTTAACCTCAAGTTATGAGTATCAACGTCTCATTTTGTGACTAATTGTTATTTCGATTTGTATTTGATTAAAACTACAGCAAGCCACAATCCATCTATGCCTTAAACCAACGATTTATAAACATCTTAGATCATATATTACAATCTAATCTATGCATGTTTTTTTTTGTCGTCTGCGAAGGACTACTATTTTCATCCCTGCAGGTTTCGGGCCTCGGGGCATACCCCATTACCCGGGCAATCATCACAGCCCATTTCTATGGGCCGGTCCTGGCAGCCGTACAGGAACGGCATTATTGGTTCTCTTCTTTGGCGTATTGCGTTCCACTAGGTAGGTGCTTCCGAAGGGTCAGCAGTCTCGAAGCCACACGGAGTGCCGCCGAGGACGGGTCTCGACGCAGGGCAAATCCTGCCAACAGGTGTGCGCTCCTGATAGCAGTACTCCGGGCCTCCGGTGCTCCTCCCTAGCTCTAGGTGATGGCCTGGCTGGTTCCTAGGCATACTTGGCGTATCTCGCGCCTCTGGGAAGGGATCTGCCAAAGGGTCAGCGACTTCCAGGTCCCGCGGAGACGGATCATCGACACGGAGCCGATGTCACTAACCGGCGCGCGCTCTCCTGATAGCAGCACGCCGGGCCTCCGGAGCTCGCTTCCCAGTACATTAGATGACACGCAGTGTAGAGTATGTGTCGTCCCGGGAGGGGTCAGGGGCGTCCTTGAAGCTCGATGCAAGCCGAGTTCGCCCCTCGGCGCGTACACCCACTGCGAAGCGACGCGCTGTACTTCTTCCTTCCGGGCGAAAGCCGACGACCGGCGGACGTGACCGGCGGCGAGCGCGGTTAGGCATGTTAACAACCTCTGCTGGGCAAGGGTCTCTCCCATATGGAAAAAATAACGTAATTACCGCGCACCTTCGATAATACTTTTTGTTATCGGTATATTATGGGTATTTATATGTGGGATTAATACGTGATATACAATGTTGACTTCAGCTGGGAGCAAATAGCATAATAAGTAGCTGGGAATCAGACCCCGTGACACACTTAGCTATGCGGTCGTCAATCCTGTCCATTATACATCCTATAGTACGATATACACAATCAATCATTATAAAATTATGTTATCATTATATTATATAACAATCGTTACAGTCGGTCATAAGTAGGCTGTTCCAACCAGTCACCCGCGTGTTCCATGGTTCCATGTTCCATGGGATGTCATCATATAACTGGCAATAATTCGGTCATCATCGAAGTTTAGCAGTATAGCTTATTGATTTAACTGATTAAAGATTCTGAGGAATATTCCTGTGTGAAGACAATTTTTTTTCAAGACGGGCACAGATCCACCCTACCATCATCTGTCGCTAACGATTTCTTGTATTTTTATGCAAGTAGAGTCATTTCGGGTGAGAGCACGCGGTGGGTAAAAGTTCGCAGTAACTCGATCTCCGATAGAATCGATGGAGTTGAAGTTTATGTGCGCGGAATTTAGTGGTGCTCATGTCGCCGATTCGGAGCCACGTTGAGCGCCGGCGCAATATAAGTACTTTTCGCTATAGGTCGCCGAACATGTAAACTGCAAATATTTTCTAGTATTTTTGTCGGGGAGAACTGTACGTAAGTTTGTTACATTTATATAATAATTTCTTAAATTTACGCGAACACTACACATTGAATAAAACTAAATTTACGGATTCTATCGCGTTTATTTAACTGATTTTACTTATTTTTAATTCCCGACGTTTCGGGTGCTTTACAGCAACCATGGTCACGGGGGGGGACTGAGATGTTTGACGTCCCAATGTCATTGTTAGCCCGGCTACCTTCTGTTTTTGAATATTAATTTTTGGTCCGATTTATGCAAAACGAACTTATATAGTTCGGTTATTGTAGTGTTTATATACTACATTTATATAATTGTGTTGTGGCTAATCATTCAGTATTTTTACTGATTGGGGTAAGAATCAGGGGTATATACATAAACCATGACTCGTACTTATAACCCAATGCAAGAAAAATATCTAAAATTATTCTTTAAGAATACAGCAAAATGCCAAAGAACTATGCAAATCAGGCATCACTATGAGCACCACAATCTAATCAAGGAAGATAAAGCTGAGAGACGCTGCAGAATATGTTGGTATCAGTTGCTTTGAGGTAGAGGCTAATTTAAGTTAAAGATACTAAAGTTACTGATTATGTTGATTTCAAAGTTTAATAAATATTGATTATCCCCAAAAATTATTTTATTTTGGTATCCTATCGCATCTTTTTGAGTGAGTACGTTCACCGCGCACGTGTAATTTTATCCCCAAGGTTTTGCGTAATTTTACCCGCATGACGGGTCAAGAGTAGGTACGCATTCGCTACTCCGAAGTTTCGAGCGCTTTTCAGTACTCATGGACACGGGGCTGAGGTGTTCAACGTCCTATAAGTCTTAGTGAGTGCCATAGCTTTGGTTTTTGATTTTAATTTTATAATCCGATTTTAGAAAATTAAAATTAAACTCATAAAAAATATTTTATTCATCTTCCAACGGTGATAAATGTTAACGTAATACTTGCCCATGATAAATCCGAAATCCACTTGGGATAGACGGCCGCCCTTCCATGGACTATCCCAAGAACGATTGTAGGTACTCGCCTCTAAGACAGTCCATGCCTGGTTTAACTATTTTTTAGCCTGATTATTATTATTATCATAAACTATAATGTAAGCCGTAATGTAGCTAGTGTGTCATCATTATCATCATTACAGCCTTTCACAAGTCCGCTGCTGAACACAGTCACAAAACACAGTCCTGAGCGATGATTAAAACAAAAAAGTATTTATCCATGTCTCAAAGGTTCAGAGCTACTTGCATCCATGGACTTCCTGAGTGCCTTAACAGGTTATTACTCTATCTAATATGGGGCCGTCCACGCTTGTGTTATCAGGACGAGGCTGCCACTCGAGAACCTTTCTACTCCATCGGTTGTCGGTTTTTCGTATTCGTAGATAGGTACTTTCGTGAGTAAGGGGAGAATATAATATTAACTTCGTTTAAAAATACAACCTCACGTGTACGTTGCATATCTTTCTCTTAAGACTAACGAGTAATCATTTGATGGCCAATTGATGGCAGAAAAGTCATCTAGCTGAATTCAAAACTTATCTGTAATAAGAAGCAGAATTAATATAATATCTATATTATTGATTTTATTATAAGTTGTGAAATAATATTAACATGGCATTAAAAAGATTCTAGAGTTTCTTGCTGGTTTTCTTTGAGAAGGTATTGTTTTTGTGAACCGGTGTAGATTTTGACGTTTTTAAGAGTTTTTTACAGCTGTATACAAACACGCCCAAATTTAATAAAATAGTTTTGCTAAAGCGAGCGTTCACTCTGCGTTCACTAGCACGTTAGGCAACACTTTCAAGAAATGCATCTGCTTGCACATTTAAAAAAAAAACCATCTTTAGCACTGACTTTGATAAGTTTTTTGACCTGGTAGAGCCACGCTGCCGTTATACTCGTATAAGCTGGGTTGTGCAGACCGAGATATGACCACGATCTTATATAATACCAATGTGAAACAGTAGTTCGTCAACAGTGTTTCGTATACTCAGTGTAGAGAACTGTGGATCTTTTTTACTGGAAACGAAGCATTTCAACTTAGTCCACAGGCTTGACAAAGCATCTACGTTTGGTACTCTTAATTGGGAATAGATGTAGATGTCTATGGGCTACAGCAACCATTTACCATCAGATGGACTATGCACTTTCTTGTCACCCTTAATCTATAAAAAAGTGATTTCAACAAGACTAAAGCCGCGTTGACACGATCTGAGTCTGCTCAGCACAAGTGGACGCGAATACTGACGCAACTCGTATTGTGGCAACTCATAATCCGAGCACACTCGGATGACGGTGTCCGACCTGTGTAAACTCGGATCGCGTCCTACTCTCCCGCGCAATTGTGAAAAAAAAAAGGCAGCTGATGACAATAACCAAGCGTCTCGTGCAAAAAATTCTTCAAAATGTCCAAATTTTTCACCTTTTGGAGATACCTTATCTTTTCTCGTCTTAGCTCTTCTATTAACAAGTCTTAGACAATAATATTTCGCACAAAATCCGACATTTTTCGATGTTGAATGTGAAAAATAATTGTGGTAGTAAAGAAAATGATCCGAGTGAACTATGTTAATATCAAGGGCAATTCTAGTCCACTCGTATGAAGCTATTCCTTCTACAAGTTCACTCGGTCTGAGCATACTCTGATCATCTCAACGCGGCTTAAAAATTATAAGAATGTGACCAAGAATGAAACCAAGGATTGCACATAAATAACCAATATGTGTGTAGTAAGAGTCGGCTCGGCTTAGGGATATGTCATAAATATCTTTCATCTTCCGATAGATGGCGGTATAACCATCTCGTTTCCGATAGATGGTGGTATAACTACCTGCGAAAGTTATTTCCGTTACAGTCTATTAAAGTCCACTGTTAAACATAGGCCTCCCCATAGATTGCCCGTTATGGCGGATATTTGCCCGTTTAAGTTAAGCTTTTAATCTTTTATGGTAAAGATCAACGAACTCTTAAAACTAGTAAATATGTATAATATGGCGTTCTTTGTGTGGAGAAAAAATAATTCCTTTTCACCTAATTGTTTTCACGAACCGATGAAAGACAAATCCTTATTTCATAGGTTCGTGAAAACGAATAGTGTCACATGAGTAGACGAACGGAACAGAAGCAAAGCTTAATGGCGGCTTCTCACTGCGTGTGTTATCACGCGCCGCGCCGCGCCCACACGTGTAGAGATGTGTCAATCATGCATGATTCGTTCGTTTGAGCTGGTACACTTAAAAGTATTTATGGTTCATTCATTTGTTTTTGAATGAACCAGTACAACCAATCACAAACAATTTACTGTACCTTTGTAACCCGCGATTTGTTTGAATTGTGAATGAGCCGCAAACCGACCGAATCCCGAATGATCTGAATAAACAGGCGAATCGTATTAACAATGTAGACTGCAGAGTATCAGGAGTATTCATTATTTAAGTGTTTTTGAATTATAATATTGTTGCCTAAATTAAAAACTATTTTACATTTTATTATATTTATTTGTTAAATCTATGATTTAAAAATATAATTTCGTAGAGTTTACTAAAAATAACACTTCAAAAGATTTCATGATAAATGATTTATTTAATGATAATTTTCAACCACCGTATATAAGTATAAGATAATATAATATTTTTGTAGCAAATAAATGTTAAAATTTTCGGTTCCCAATGGATCTCACAGAGTACCTACTGGAGCCTTAAATGATCCATTCGAATGATCGATCCAAATGTACCAGTACGCGTGACGAAATGTACTAGAATGATTCGGTCGCTAGAAATGAATGATTTACACATGTCTACACACGTGCCACGCGCCAGTGTTGCCAGGTCAAGGTTTTACTTTACCCTAGGCTTGGTCTCAATTTACCCTAGAATCTGTATTATTTAAAAAATACCCTAAAAATATCCTTGTCTTTTCCGTCTTTACAAATAAAACAACTACATTATTTATTCATATTATTATATTATTGGCACATAACAATAAAGGTATCCTCTGCATCACATCTTTTTTGTCATACATGCTATTATTAAATTTGTCCAACATTGTTTTTGAAGGAGTGAAGTTAACACAAGATTTGTGAAATATGTTTAAATTGTATCTTACAGTCATTATACTCTCTATCATAGGCAGGGATAGCCTATTCCTAAGCTTTGTTTTGACGACTGAGTATAGAGAAAAGGCCCTTTCTACGGCTGCATTAGATATAGGCGCCGACAAAAGAGACAATGCTAATTTAGAGACATTAGGGAATCTTTTATTACCCCCAGCGTCTGTGTTCCCCTGAACCTAAGCCCAAAAATCAGTACAACGCGTCGTATTTTTCCAAGATTTGTTTTGCAAATTATTCCATTCCATTTCTACCTCTTGTTTACAACCATATACTTCAGCCCTTTGAACATTTTGTAATATGTCAACTAATGTAGGTTTCACTTGAGAAGTGGCTATTTCTGAAGACAACTTCACCATGCTTTAAGGAATGTGACCTGTTTTGGCAACCTTTTCTGTAATTCGAAACAAAAAATAACAAGAAAGGTTTTGCGTCTCTCACGTACGTCTTCTTTGTCACGTCTGTCTAGTTTCGATAGCGCCTCTTCAACGGTGTAGCCAAAATGCATTGCTGATACATGCATCAAATGCTCCTGAAAACCAAATGGTGCATATTCTCCATCCGTAACAGTTTCAAGCTTCCGAGGTATGACAATAATTTGCAGGATATTTTTGAATAGCAAAAACAAGTCTTCTAACAGTTTCGCTGGATCGACATTATCACTTTGAAAAAGGCAATTTACTTTAGTAACTTGTCGTAGATGAACATCTAAGAACGTGAAATATGCATGGTAAGCTCTGCATTTCATGATGTCATACAATTTTTCCGCCATGAAACATTTGTCTTCAGTCTTAGCCATCATGAAAAGAAGCTTTAATTCCTCCCATTGCTCGAGTAACGTACGTATAGCATGAGAACGTGCTTACCAGCGTGTTCCGCAAAATCCTGGTATTTTTTTTAGGAGCTCGACTTTCGTTCATAATTTCGTATAAGTCCCTGTAGGCTTCAAGGCGTTTTGAACTATACAAGAACCAATTGTGGCATTCTCGAATCAAAAATTCCAGTTGACGGGGCATACTTTCCGAAGCTTTCTCTGCACATAAATGCAACGAATGACAGGTACAATTAACGATGATAATATCCGGTAAGTCTCTTTTCAACAGTGCTGCGACAGAGTGGTGCTCACCAATCATTACAATAGTACCGTGTAGCCCAATTCCTACCAGCATTTCAAGACGTAAGGAGTCCTCTAGTAAAGTATTTTTTATAGTTTCATAGATGGTTGTTGCATCGCATTTAGATATTTTTATATATCTGTAAAATGTTGTAATGATATCCTGCTTAATTTTTGAAAAATACCGTATAATTATGCACAGAATGTTATCTGTTGATATGTCCGTAGTTTCATCCACAATAAGTGAATATGCAGCATCACCAACATCTGATATCATTTCTTGCATCATTACTGGACCAAGAACGTTTTTTTATTAGCATGCTGCATTTAGTTCTGTGTATTTTTAACGTCCCCAGAACTTCTGATTTCAGATCAAGACATGGCAGGATTTCACCTAAATGATCTACATTTTGAATAGCACTATGTTCAACTATATAAGCAGCTGTTTTTAATTCCGCAGTTTTGTTATTCTTCGAAACTGTTTTTATAAAAGGCAATTGCTGACAGGACTTCGCCGCTTTATCTAATGACACAGCTTTTATGTGTTTTTTACTCTTTGCGTGATAGTTAAGTTCTTTCTTGTGGGGTACTAATGTGACTTTACAATATTTGCACCTTGCATAGTTTTCACCAGTGGGGTCAGGACAAATCCAATCTAAAAATAAAAAAAGCAAAGCGTTAACACCACCGCACCGCCACCACCATTCATCTTCATCATCACCACAATATGCATTTATCTTTATCCATCACCACCACCACCCGTAAAATATACCTACAGATGTGGGTAAATTTTGCAACAGGCAACTCTTATACATTACCAAAGACATTCAAATAATATTAACAGCCAAACTGCCAAACAAAGTACAATACAATCAAAGAAAAACAGTTACAATAATACTTGTGTAACCTCAGTCTCATTGCTCAATTAGATTAATACATATTATAGCTTTAAGAAAACTGGACTTACCTTTTAAATTTGGATCATACTCCCATTCTTTACAGTATTTTTGTGCATACTTTTTCACACCTAACGCCAGCACTAGACGACGCCAATTTTCACAACAAAAGAAAAAAAGAGCAAGCAACACAATAACTAAGAGACTAGAGAGAGACACAAAAGCAATCGGTGCGTTCACGACACGGAATCTGTAATGGGCGCGTTCAAAAACAATATCATTCAAAGTAATTATTTTACTGTTATTGACTGTTACCCCAAAAAATACCCTAGGAAAATTCATACCCTAGAAATTACCCTGCTGGATTACTTTTACTCGAAATATAGGGTAAATTACCCTAAGTTGGTATCACTGCCACGCGCAGTGTGAAGCTGTGAAGCATAGATAATACCTATATACCAGAGATAAATGTGCCACTCACATTTTAGTTCTTGAAATAGTGTACCCTGCACGCTAGATGACGCTGCAGACTTTAGTAAGGGTAGTAATAAAAGCTCCGACAAAAAAAAATAAGAATTGCCCTTACTCAAAATATGAAATCTACTGCCTTAAATACTAACGTTCCGACTAGTTTTGTCCGAGTAAAAATGACGAAACGACCGAATGAAATACTGAAATCTTCGAAAATTAAATATTAACCTTTAGTGCTATAATACTTTTCTACCAGCTTGAATTAGGTTTTACTGAAAACTATGTTTTGTAATTTTTATCTGTACTTACCTACTATTAATATATAAATTACCTTCCATATTTCATAGACTGTGGTGCTATTTTAACTACAACGTTATACTGAAAATACTATTCTGAGTGGTTATATAGAAACTTATAAAAAATATAAAAATGTACTTGTAATAATATTACCTTTTACTTATCATGAATTATACTTACCACAGGTATGCTTCGATATCAGTACTTACTTCAGCCCCCATAACATGACCATCGAAACACGATATGATAAAGCGATTTATCGCTATGAACTGTCAAAATACAATGGAATTTTGAAGGTTCAAAGGGATAAATCGCTTTATTATATCGTGTTTTAGTGGCCATGTTACTAGGGCAGGCGTTAAAAACTCAGTACTCAGGATTTTGGTTTCCTACAATATTTTACTATTATCCTGTTTTTTTTTTTTAATCGACAAATTCCCTTGTTTTTATAATGTTAGTGAGAAAAGAGATAAAAATAAAACAAAATTCAGTTCATTATAAAAATATTGTTTGATAGGTAGTACAAAATGTCATACATAACTGTACTTATGAACTAAATAGGGAGGGAGGTAGTTAGTTGTCAGTATCTTAATTATCTTCATTGTATTATAAGAGCAGGTCTGGATTTAATAGGACGACCCCGTTTCCTTTTTTGTCCTTGAGCTTCAATCTAATAGCGAGCCCTAGAAGTTGTTTACAAACGTATTTTTTATGAAACTGTGGGCAAGTGCAGGATCCTTTTCTCCATTCTACATTTTGTGTTTCGTTTTTAGGCACTGTGACTTTCCAGAAAGCAAAATGTTTCATCTTGTAATGTTCAAAGTTTAACTACTGCTCACCGTACTACACCTCTCCTACTTGACTGCTACTACTACTTGGGATCAAGTATTCAGTGTATGCCGTGTTGGATGATAAAATCTTTATTCTTAAATCTTTCCTTGCCCAGCAATACCCATCGGTCCAGTCCTTCAGCTCTATAGTAGGTGTTTCAGGTAAAGGTTCTTTGCAGCTTTGTAAAGACCACTGAGCAACCATCTCAGTGGCAATGGTCAAGAAATGTGAAAGTGGAAGACGTTCACGTAAGGTGTTTTGGTCTTTTATGTTCCGATTGAATGCTTCTAATGCATTATTTGTGGCGGGTGAACACGGCGCTGCGCCTAAAAACCAATTTGGATGTTTCTTTAACCATTCTTCTTTAAAGTAGTGAATGAACTCGGTTTGAGTCTGCCATTTTTCAACAAAAGCCTGTGATGTAGTATTAAATACTTCATATTATGATGTAGCATTATGTAGTGCGTCTATATCTTGTATGATTTCTTTCTGTTTCGTTTTATTGTTGATGGTTTTCTGAACTTTTGGGTGCATATTTTTCTTCGCGTGAGCCCAACACATAGGAATAACTGGTGTGGTACCAAAAACTGCGATGAAAGCATTTCTTATACTCTGAGTAGCGTCACAAACTAAAACTTTTGGTTGCATCACGTGATCAAATAAAGACAGAACCTTTTCTTTAAGGCCATCAAAAATCATTTGAAAATCTTCTTGACGTTCATTCTTGAACACACCAAGACAAAGCGGATGGAACTTGCGGTTCTTATCAGTGGTACCAAGAACAAAAACGGGGAACCCTTGCCATATGAGTTTGTATGTGGCGTCTATGTGCAGTATGTCCGTGGAACAAACTATGTTGAGAATTTTTTAGTTGACAATGTCAGACGAAAACTTGGTTCTTCCGCTTCTATCACGTGATAGCTGAACACGAAAACTTCATTTTCATCATCGGGAATAGTTGTTAGATCGAAAATCCATTTTTCAAGTTCACCTAAGTAAATTGCAGCTCTTCCGAACTTCTCGCGCCTTCTGTCATATAAGTAGTTGTTAAGTTGCCGTTTCGAAGGCGCCTCTATCCCTGACATGTTGTTTAGAGCCTCTAATATAGCTTTTGGCTTTAGGCGTAAATCAAACAGCTTATTTATTTCTCTTTTAACGTTTTCCGGAATTCCGTACTCACTCGCGTACCAATCTGGTCATGGTTGTGCTCTGAAGTGGTCTTAAAAATAAGAATATCATTACAGTCGTTCACAAACAAGAAATATGTACAACGCACAATCACACTGTGGTCCTTTGGATTTTACCTTGTTACAACGATAGAAACGTTTTTGGCCTAAACGCGACCCGAACCCGATCGTGCGGGACAAACAGTTGAGGTATTTTCATCATTATTGAGAGGTAAAAATTAATTTGATAACCAACAATAGAAATTATAAGAGTTCATGCAAGTCGTAAAAATATGATTATTTTGTCAAAACCTTTGTTGTCGGTACCTAACTTAGTAATCTTGTCGGAGGTTCAGTATTTTATTCGGAAGTTTATTTTTGTTATTCGAAGATCTTTTTTTTTTTAGGAGAAATGTAATTTGACCGTTCTATCCTTTGTTTGTTAAATTTGTAATTTTTTTTCGGTATGTATTAGGTTTCTTTGACGGTAATTTATTATAATGCTGGTTAACTAGAATAATAGTCGGCCACAGATCGCTGGAGATTAATTTGTTTTTCGGAACCATTATTATTTCCCCTTTAGTAAAACGCGTCTTGCGGTAGGTATCGCTAGATGGCGTATTTTATGCAATAACTATGCTGATTATTTACGAAATGTACAATTTTATTATCAATGTTTATGTTATTTACTAGATAATTATTGGATATAAAAGTAAGGTTACAAAAAAGCACCGCACCACCGAGCACGTGGTAAATCACCAGATTTCCAATCGCGTGCTGTGGAATTTACAGTGAGAACTATCCAATTGAGTTACCTCCGATCTTTTCACTTCGACAAAAATGTCTAATTATTGGATATCTCGAATAATAATCCCAAATCTCCAAAAGGAAATTTTGTAGATAACATTAACACTAATAAAACTTGGCCTATTTCACATAAGATTTTTTTTAAATATATATAAAAGGCGAAGAAAACGACGAAAAAATTTATAAATAATCATAAGACATCTTATTATGATTTTCACAGGATAGGAATGTAAAGTCGCAAAATATTTTCGTTTTCTGAGTCATTGTATTTTTAATATTCTTTATTTGTGGTTCTTCAATCAATTGAGTTCGAATTATTAAACAATCTTCATCCATGAATGAACACAACACCGATAGATATTCACTGGACCTTTTTAATAGTCTCTTCTCTTTCTAAAATATAATTGAGTAGTTATATAGTATATACTGTAGTATCTTACACATGTCATTTCTTATATATTTTATACACTTGTGAACTAAATACTCAGCAACATAACTTTTAATTAAATTTGAAAGAACTGTGAACGAATTTTATTAAAAATTGCTATGATGAATTGTCAATTCAAACTTTTTGTTGTTGTGGATTCTGGATCATTAGGTAAGAACCCCAGTTTTATCTAACGAACGCCATCTTTACTGCGCTTGAGAAAACTATCCTACAAGTTTTTGTACACCGCTCACTGAAGGGCAGAACTTTCTATGCATATTTTATTCTAGTGAATTTGTATGGAAGTTTTATCCCCCCTGGTGTGAAGGGTTTGGCGCGGCACGTACTATCCGTTTAAAAACGGTAACTTCAAGGGCGCGGCGTGGCGCGGCGCGGGCTCGCGCGTCATTTCAAGGGCGCGCACGGCGAGGCGTGTGTTTACAAGATTGAACTCGTTCATTTCATTTTCATCTTAACTCGTCCGACGATGAGGTAGGTATTCTCATGTTTATATAGATATGGAGTGGTCTAATGAGACGATTGCTGAATTTTTAATTTTAACGATTTCATCCACCAGCACCGTTTCTTCTTTTTTGTTAATTTTATTAAGTAAATGATATCCACAAAATAAGACAAAAGCGGCTGAAGTAACAGCGATGCCTTCTTCTTCAGTGGCATTGCTTCATAGCTGGAGGTGGCAATTCGACTCACACGACATCAGGTGCGCTGTGCTGAACAGACTGACTCAGTGGCTCGGAGTTTGGGCAATCACGCGCCACGAGGCGCCAGTTAAAACGGGTGCTAGGGGGCTCGCGGGTGGCGCGTGCTTGCGCAAACAAATCAACACGGACGGTGCGTCACGTGATATCACACGCAGTGAGAAGCCGCCATAAGAAGGGGCAAAATTGTTACCTATTTTGGTAGTGTTGTCACAATATGTGAAGACAAATTAAACAAAACATTTGTTAAATAGTTTTATAATCCCGCATGATGAATACTTTACAAATTACTTACTCTTTATAATTTTTGTTTTTTTAATAATTTATTGTTCATTTTAATGGTGTAAATTAGAATTAAAGTAAATTCTAAATCTTACATAAAGTTTACTATAGCTGTCGAGGAGTTCCTTCGTGAGGAGACTATCCTGTCTGCAGCAGCAATTTATGGTAACGTAATTTAAATACAAAGTTTAGAGTCCATGCTATTAACCGTTAAAGAGTTCCCTCGTAAGGAGATAATGCTGGCTGCAGGAGCAGTTGATGATAAACATCGTGTTAAACTATCAAAATTAAACTAACATACAAAATTTCCTGACCCTGCTACTACCCATTGAAGAGTTCCCTAATGAGGAGACAATTCTTGGCTGCAACACCAGGTTATATCTATCATAATATTGCATTGTCACTGAAATTACGGTATACAAAATATCAACTCAGCCTGACATCGAGAAGTGGTTTAAATCTTACTTGCAATATGTAAACTTAACACGCATACCCACTACATACCAACCCACCACATACCTACCAATGTTTAGTAGCATATTATAATATTGACATTTTGTCTTGTCATTTATGAGCAAATTATTAGCGTTAAACCAATGTACTAGTTTCGATAGAGCATTATTTACATTGTCAAAATTAATTGAATGTCGATGGAGTTTGAAAATTAAATAGGTATAATCACCAAACAATACTATATCGTGATTGTGCCCTACAAGATAAGGTAAGTCATTAATATAGACTAAGGACTGGAATGGGAATCGAGCCCTGAGGAACGCCCATTAATACAGATCAGAATTACTGATCTGGAGGAACCTTTACCATTGATAACGACTTTTTGAGTTTTGTTATTAAAATATGAAATAAAAAGTCTAAGTGTAATATTTTTGACACCGTAATGTTGTAGTTTCCTGTTTCTTTTTCGGAGAAGTAAAATGTATTTGGTTGTAGCTCCATCATTAACCACTCCGCCAAAAAAACAAATATCAACAAAACAAAATAACAACAATTAAATAAACAATAATTACTAAAATGGCCTCCCGAATGGTGGTGAACCCATCTTGACCCTGACATGTTCTTGTCGGAAAACGAGACATTACGACAAATCGTAGACAGAGAAACCTATAGACCAATTGACGCCTTCTTTCGCATTCGCACACGAAAAAAGATAGATTTATGCATACGTCTTGCATAGAAATGAGATAGAGCGGTGTGATTGTTTGTCCCTTTCACCGTGCCGGTTTTTTTGTTTAGCAAACTCTACAGTTTGCTAAACAACTTTGAAAGCGTAGCGATTTAAGGAGTTTACAAGTTGGTTTAAGTGAGAAAAAAGTGTTTTGTGAGCCTAAGATTGGTGAATCTTGTTCAGTTCAGTTCTTAGAACAATTAAATTTTTTATCTAAATGTGTTTAAAAGTCATAAAGATTATTGTATAACCTAAAAATTCGTTATCGTCCTTTCTCACTCAAGGCCACGCCGATCATTAGTCTATAGGTTTCTCTGTCTACGCGACAAATACTCAAGATGGAAAGAGAAAGATAATAGATTGTCAACTCCACAGTCGTTTTTAAGGTAAATGACCTTTCGTATCTCTAGTAGTTGGCCGAACTATAGTCTCGCCGTATACGCGACAAGCGGCCAGTGGTCACGGACACCACACATTGTCTGCGCCCGCGTGCTTGTAGTATAGTGTACCCCAGTCCCGTCTAATCCGGCACATCCTGTAATCCGACATGGTCTATTATTCATTACTGAGTATTTTTTTGACAATCTTAGCAAATGCATGATTGAGCAAGTTATAACTTGAACGCACCACCACTAGTGTGCGTAATTGTTTTGATTCTGATTGAAAAATTTGATTCTGAAAATGGTTGAAAGGTCATAATTTTCCTCAAAAAGCGCTATTGCTTCTTGATAACGTGATTAATGCTTCTTAAATTGATGGGTTCGTCATTTTTAATTATTTTAGTATGTACATTTGTTTGTACACAAATATTTCCTAATGTTATTGAATATTTTTGTAAGTTCTATAACATTAATGATGTTAATTTTATAATAAGACGTAACGTAAAATTGTGTTGTTTAATTTACTAAATTTGACATACATTATGAAGTATGATTTGTACTTCAAAATTTTATCATTAGATCTGTAATTTGTCGGATTACAAGGTACTCTTTTGTACAAACAAAATTCTGGTCTATAGGGATCTTAGTCAGTACTCTATAATCCGACAAAGTCGATAGTTCGACACTGCCCTGCAAAATGTTTGTAGGATTACCGGGGGTTCAATGTATACGTAG